CAAACATTTTTTTCCTCTTCCATTTTCGCCTAAAATCTACTACTATATACATAATTAAATAGGAAGAAAAATATGACATTTTTCGATTTTTTTTAACATATTGTGCCGCCAAAAGTTAAGCCCACGTTTTTTTATGCGCATAGAAAAATGTTCATTTTTAGTGATATTTGAAAGCCAAAAAGCCAAAAATCTCTGTGGATATACAATTCATCCAAACCAAAACAGATACCGCCTAGTCTATTTCTTCACTTTCACTTTCATCACATTGACGTGTTTCATACTCGTCCAATGGAGTTTGTACAAGTTTTTTCCACTGGTGTGCTAAACTTGTTAATTCATCTCTTAGTTTTTGAGGAGTTATTTCTGGTTCATATATGACCAATTTCTTACACAATTTGTTAAAAACTTCTAAGCCTCAGATCACATGTAATTGTCGGCCAAGGTGAAGTCGACATTTCTTATTTTACTGCCCTAGGTGTGTAATATACTTTTTTTTTAAATTTTTTTCCAAATTTTTTTCCAAGTCTTGTTGCATTTAAGAGTGAAATTCAGGAGAAGACGTTCATCATCAGTCCTAAACTCCAGGTCGGCGATGGATCAATTTGACACAGGGCGTTCACGATTTCTCAAGTGAAGGCATTTTTATCACAATATAATATTCGTAAAAATAGAATTTTCTGTCTATATAATAGTCGCAAATTTAGGAAGGCAATTTTCCTCCTATGTTGACTCGTGTTTTGATGGTTGTATTCGCGACTAAGAAATATCGGCAATTTAAGAAATATAAAGCGGAAGTTTCATTTTCAATTGAAGATTTGAAAAATTGTATTGAAGTGTCATCAAAACTGTAAAATTTTAATCAGCGCATCGAAGCCTTCGGAGAAATTGTATGAAACAAATAAATACTGTAGCAGCCTTGAATTGAAGAGTTTGAAAAAGTAGTTATATGTATGTATATGACTAACTAGATTGTAAATTTAAAAAAAATCTTATGGTTGGAATGAGACTAAATCAGGAGAGGATCTATACTTTACCAAAAATACCATCGTAGCGTCAAGCATTTGATTGAAGGCAGTCTATAATCTGCAATTAATTAATTTAAAATGAAAACATGTTTTCTTTAGAAGGATTATCAAGTATGTACTTAAAGTTTGGGTACTAATGCTTACTGGGCTAAACACAGAAAGCAAATAATCATTAATTAGATCTGTATTTATTACGTATCGAATCCTGACTTATAAGAATGTACAGTCGGAATGGTGTAATAAACTGTCAATTTTAAAAAGTATGTATTAGATTACTTTTCATTTAATAAATATTGTTTCCATGAGAAAACTCTAATATGTTTGGTCGCCTTCAAAATACAATTAAAATATGTACTAGGGTTTAGAGCTCTCCATTTGTGGTAACGCAAAAAGTAAACTAAAAACTTTGATGACAACTTACATTCTGAAATTATCTCTATCTGATTTTTTGTTTATGGAATTACTGTGTGAATTTATACATATCATCTCGCTAATCACTAATCAGTCTGTATTTGATAAATTAAATTCATTATCGGAGATCTTAATCGATTCTTCATTAAAATTATGGCCGTCTATGAAATGATGGGATGCTAATAATGTTTGTTTCTTTTTGTTTATGTTTAGAGTTACAAGAGGATTTATGTGAACTAATTCTGTATTTTGTATTTTGTTTTATTTGTCCAATATAAATCCCCGAACAATCAATACATTGAAATCCATAAATTTCGTGACACAAATGATTTAATTGACAAACCGTTTTGCTGTGATAAAAAACAACACTTAGATTTTATCGCTATTAAAAATCAATCTTAATTTTTCTGACGAACCTTTTGTACGACTTTTTAAATTTTGGTTAGGATATGACAATAAAATCATCACTTAAAGAATAAGACAAAATATCAATGAATGAAAGAATGTCATTTTAGTAAGTGTTCAAATTCGTTTCACTCCGCTTCCATACAATATTAAAATCTTTGCTCCACTTCCGAACGAACATTTCGAAGCATTTCGGGCGTTATTTGACAACAATTCGCCGACGAAGCTCGTCAAGTGAGTTCGGTGGTGTTGCATAAATTTTCGATTCTAAGTCTCCCCATAAAAAAAGTCTAAGGGCGTTAGATCTGGCGATCTGGCGATCTCGGAGGCCACTCAGTTGAACCTCTGCGTCTTATCCAGTGATTTGGAAAGTTCTCATTAAGAAAATCACTCACAGCTACGGCATAATGTGGTGTGTGATGTTCTTTTACTTAGAACTGCTCAGGTTCCAGTATAGGGAGTTAGCAATAAAACGGCGCATACAAAATATACATCTATTCATCCAATTTCGTTACCATCTTCTTGCTTAGACAAAAGTGTATTCCTCCAATTAATTCTGTTGAAACGGATTTGTTCTCAGTTCAACAATTTGCCAGTCGGCATATTAAATAGAACAATAACAATTATAAGTAGTTACACATAATGACAATAAATATCTTAACTACTACAGGGTGTTTAAAACTAAATAATATAATTAATCTGATTTGACCATCACAGGTGGAGCACCATCCTGCTGAAACCACATATCCTCTTCTGACAATGCGTTGTCATTTTCCACAATCATCGGGTAGATATAGTACAGTCACTGAAGCTTTTGACCTCCGAATTCTTTGAAACTGAACCCATCGACTTGAAATTTGGCAGATAGTTAGAGAAAATGTCAATGAACATTAGTGACATAGCGCCGATTGTCGCTTCCACCCTGTTGGGGGTTGACACCCCTTCTCGGGGGTGGAAATCGATAGAGAATCAAATTTTGAGCAAAAAATATTCGAAGAATTTTTTTCGAGATTTTATTAAAAAAAGTATTATGAACAAAAATGTAGCTTATAAATAAACAAAGAAAGTCGTTTTTAAAAAGTGTTGTACGTCCTATACAAAGCGAAATATGGTTAGTGGAGGGGGACTTGTTTTGGGGGGAATACTCGAATCGATATTCAACGCCAAATGACGGAAAAAAGATTAATTTTACGTGTATAACGCTCCCGGAGTTTTTTGTAGTATTCAAAAAGACCTTCAAAATGAATGTTTTTATTATCATGCTTATAATTTTTTGTCTCCTTAAAATCAACATTTAAAAAACTATAGGTAGATTATTTCAACTGGTTGAATCTGTATTTATTTATTGATCTAATTACATATCTGATCAAAATCAATCTTATACATATTTTATATTCCACTTTTCCTTCTAATCCAATTTCTAAGGCTGGGTACACTGGCATACACCCCAGGCCCGTCAGGCCGAGCACAACCCGCACCCCACGAAACGACACCAGTTAACACCCCATTGATGACCATCGGTCCTCCAGAATCATTGGCACAAGCGTCTTTACCTCCTACTTGCCAGTACCCAGCGCAAAACTTTCTCTGAGTTATGACGTTCTGCCCGTAACGGCTCCTACATAGTTCCATGGAGAGAACAGGCACGTGGACGACCTTGAGCCTGTCAGCTAGTGGTCCACCTTCCCAGAGTGCACCCCATCCGGTGACGACGCCGATAGATCCAGGTTTTGGAGGGTTATAACCCGCAGGTGCCAAGATGATGGCTCGAGCCACGCGGATGGTGATGGGTTTGACCAACTGTATCAGAGCAATATCGTAGTCGAGAGTTTGTCTTAAGTAGAGTTCATGGAGGATAATCTTGCGCGCAGGTATGACTTGGCCTCCCTGATTGCGCTTGGAGGATCCCGCACGGATGGAATAGGCATCGAACTCGCGAAGGAAACAATGAGCTGCAGAGACGACCCAGGTTGAGGATATGATGGAACCGCCACAGTGGTGGCGACCGTTTCGTTGGACAGAGACGATGTAAGGGTGCTTCTCGATGCTCGAGGGTTCTCCACCGACAATTCTTGGATCTACGTCCAAATCTATTAAGTCGGGTTGGGGTGCACCTAGAAAATAATAGTAAATATAATAAACAATTTTGCGAGAAAAATAAACTTTAGTCAATTTACTATAACACCCTGTCTCTCTGATTATTTGGATTTTTGCTATCCATGAAAAAATATAAGAATTAATCAAATAAATCCTCGCAGCAAAGGGATAACTAAAAATCTCTGATTGAAAAAAGCAGATATACAATTCAATGACTAATTTTACGCAAAAATGATTATATTCGCTTTCCGAATGGTTCTTGAAATATTGGAAGTTGCCAGGTTGTATGGGCAGTTGCTAAAGAGTAAATTACATTGTCGCAATTCGAAGGCTTAGAAAAAAATGTGGTTTATTTTAATAAAAGCGCAATAACAGTGTAATTATTATAGCTGCTGAATGTGACCACCGCCTTGCAATGTACAACTCAATCCTCTGTCGAAGCTCTCGTTCCCAGTTTTCCATATCGTTTTTCACCTCATCAAACGCTGTATGAATCTTTTCAATGAGTTGATCCCTACAATTAGGCTTTCCTATTAGATATATCTTCACATGTTCCCATATGAAAAAGTTCAATGGGTTGAAATCCGGAGATCGCAGTGGTGGCGTAATAATCGGACCACTACCTCTTCATCGATTTAGATACTACTTTTCATTGATGAAATTAGTGACGCCTCTTCTATAATGAGGAGGAGGAATGACCTGAAGTAGTAGAAGTAGATCGTTCTCCAAAAAAGCCCGGTACATCTCGCTGTTCAAACCGTCGAAGAAATATGGTCCAATAACTTCATTATTAATTATTCCACCATAAACGTTTACGAGGGTTTTCGATTGCCTACACATGATGATGGTTGTGAAAACTGTTGATTCCATCTCTTGTAAATGTAGCTTCGTCACAGAAATGGGTTCTTGAAAGAACATCCAGACGATAGCTTCACCATTCACAAAGACGAACTTTTTGGGGAAGATCCGTGTGGAGAAGTTCTTGTACTGGTTGGTAATGATAGTTTTCTCGCAAAGTGTCTTGCACAACGTCTTACTTTGTACTCTCGTACTAGTACCTGGATCATTTTCAACAAGATCACGCTCTTCTGCAGCATTGTTTCTTCGCATAACTTCTCTTTCACAAGTCGATTTGAAACTTGACCATAGATTGTCTATTTGCTAAATACGATTATAAAAGCCTGATTAACGAATCTTGTAACTTGTCCAGTAAGATGTAATGATTTATATAATCGAAGGCTTTTTGGAAATCTGTAAATATGTATTACGTCAACTTGCTCTCCACCATCCAACGTTTCAGAAATAAACTGAGAAAAGACGGCGAGATTTGAAATGGTAGATCTTCTCTGCATAAATCCATGTCGATGAATGGATATCAGATGCTTAGTGAGATAATACATTTTATTATATAGAGTGGATTCAAAAACTTTCATTAAAATTTCCCTAGTTAAATATTGGATACACATATGCATTTCTCCAAAGAGACGGGAAAGTAGAATGTTTCGAAATCAGTAAAATAATACACACAAAGGTTGAAAAAATGAGTACAGGGTGATCGATTTAACCGAAGAAATGAGTTTTTCTGGGAAACGTCCGAGAAAAATAAATTATTTTAGAAACTATTTCATTTTTGCTTACTTTTACTAGAAGTTAGGGCATACTTACAGAAATTTTCTTTACGACGCTAGGTCGTCGCGGCGCTTCAAAAATGTTTTTTCCAGCAACATACATTTTTTAATATCACGATAAAGATCCCTTAATTTTGAATATTTTTCCTATATAACATTTTTTTATTTAAAAAGTTACGGGCAATTCTCTAGTGAATTTCTCTATCTCGTAATTATTACTGCAACGATATAGTCAGTTATATATCATTTTCAATGCTCTTGCTGGTTCAATATATCAATAACTATGGTTCTATTTACAATAAAAAACGGATCCACTATAAACAATTTAATAACACAACTGAGTATACAACAATTACATTAGTTTGTAGGAATTACAAACCCACCTATCATCAGGGAGACCACAACAATATAAAGAATATCAACTGAAATAAATAAACAGAATACTTAATGTTTTAATAGGTGTTCAATGTGAGCACCATTATGATTTAAACACAATTCGTAACGTTTTCTTAGTTCACTGGACGTTACTTTTTTTAAAATATTGCCACGTATTTCAGCACAAGCAGCAGTGATTTTCTGCTTCAAATGATCAATACTGTTCGTTTTAGTTTTATACACAATATTTTTTAGGGCTCCCCTCAAGAAGAAATCAAGAGGGGTTAGATCTGGGGCTCTCGGAGCAATTTGTAAAGGGCCATTAGTACCTATCCACTTATTTTGCAAATAGTGCAAATTTAAATAGTTTTGAACAACTGCAGCATTATGGTAAGGCGTCCCATTCAATTGAAACTACAGGTTTCTCCTAATTTGAAGTGGCACATTTTCAATAAGAATAGGAATTTCGTTTGCAGGAAAATTACAATACCTTTGTCCCGTTAAGACACCATCATAAAAATATGGATCTATTAAATGGCGCCCTACAATTCCACACCATACATTGACATTAAAGTGACTCTGCCTTTGAACTTCTCTAATACTATGTGGGTTTTCGTCCGACCAATGATGAATATTTTTACGATTTGTAATAATGACTTTCGTCTGTCGACAAAATGTGGTTATACAAATTAGGATCATCATCTAATGCAACTAAGAACTGAGAAATAAAATTTTTTCGCCGTTCAAAATCTCCAGGATTTAACTCTTGCACACTATGTATTTTATAATCGTGAAATTTGTTAATTTTTAAAACTCTTTGAATTGCATTATATGTCAAATTTAACTCTCTCGAAGCCTTTCCAATAGATGCTTCAGGATGATTTTCAAAATAGTTTATTATAATTGCCACATTTTCATCAGCGGTTACTGTTTTTTGTCTCGCCCTGTTAATTAAAAATGATTTCTTATTCTGACGGAGAACATTTTCCAATTTGCTAAATATTTGATGATTTGGAAGATTTCTTTCGGGATATCTCAGTGCGTATAATCTTCTTGCCCATAATGCATTTTTCTGGGCTTCTCCGAAAATTAACAGCATATCCACATTTTCGTCATGGGAAAACATTTTATTACTGCTACTTTTCAGTAACTACTACTAATGAACGATCACAACACTTAAAAAATTAATTCTATAAACTCTATAATGATTATTAAAGACTTCAAAATTCTAACACTTCTCATTGAGAATATGTAATATGAAAACGAATACTGTTTATTGCCCAGCCTGCTTACATTTATTCAAAAAGTAATAAAGTTCAACGAATAGAATTTACTATATTTATTATGTGTAGCAAAAACTATCACAACAGATAAAAATTTTGCAATTGTTTTTCACTGTTTAGTTGCATTGGAGAATTACAGCAAAGCTTTTAAATTATAGTGTCATTTAATAGGTTTATATAGTTTTATGATGGTGTCTTATTAACAAAGTACGATTTGGGGATCGACAACTTTTTAAATAATGGGAACATAAACAATTTTTATACAGGGTGTTAGTAAATAAGTGCGACAAATTTCAGGCGGTGATTCTACATGAGAAAATAATGGCAATTTGCCTATAAACGTATGTCCGCAAATGATTCGTTTTCCGAGATACGGGGTGTCAAAGTTTTTCTTAAAATCTGACTATTTAATTTATTGCTCTGAAACCGGTCGAGATGTGCAAATGAAATTTGGTGGGTTTTAAGAGGTAGTTATTGCGCATTTTTTGACACGCAATTAAGAATTTTATAATATCAATTTTTTTAAAGAAAAAAATGGTACGCTACTGAGATATTACAAATTAAATTTTTGAATTTCTCGTTCAATTTGTGATAAAAAATCTCTCTTCTCTTTTCTTCCTATGGGGCGCCGTTTCGATGCAAAAAAATAAAACATCTTAACGCGTATTTTTTATTTCTTTAATACATTATCGAGAACTATCTAATACAATAATATTAAACCAGAACAATAACAGAAAATAACACTAATAAAATTTTGAAAAGGCGCAAAGCTACAACAAATGTTCAAAATGACCTCCCTCAGATGTGACACAAGATTCAACTCTTCGCCTCATTGATTGTCGTATTCGCGCAAATATTCTTGGTATATTTCTTATTGTCTCACAGCCGACTATAATTCGATTCCTCAGGTCATCAACATTTTCAACGGGAGTAGAATAATGACTTACGAAAACCCCAAATGCAAAAATCAAGAGGATTTAAATCCGGCGATCGAGCAGGCCAATGTTCCGTACCTCCCCTACCTATCCAACGATTTGGATATAGTGTGTCTAAGTGATTACGTACATTAATGCGAAAATGGGCTGATGCACCATCATGCAAGTACCATAGGTGTTGTCTCAGCTGTAGAGGAATTTCTTCAAGAAGAACAGGTAACTCTTCCTGTAGGAAATTAAGATAAGACTCGCCTGTTAGTCGTTGTGACAGGAAATATGGACCGATTAAATGATCATCAATTACCCCAAGCCATACATTTACGGAAAACTGATGCTGAAAATGAGCTTCAAAGATTCCATGGGGGTTTTTCTCAACCCATAAGTGATTGTTATGGAAATTTCATATACACTGTCGTCCAAAAGTAGCCTCGTCAGTAAACAAAAACGGCATTTAAAAAATTAGGAATTTGAGCGATTTGATGATTAATCCATTGGCAAAAAAATAGGCGCGGAAAAAAGTCTAGGTAATAGAGATTGCACACGTTCAATATAAAACGGATACAATTGCTGTTCTTTAAGAATTTTAAATACAGTGAAGTTGCCTACATTCGATATGTTGGCAATTTTTCGAGTACTTGTTTCAGGTGACTCCGCAATTAACTCGAGAACTGCTTCTTCTAGTTGCACAGTTCGTACTTCTCGAGGGCGCCCACAGTCAACCGTTTGTTTCTTAAATGAACCATTTTCGCGCAAACGTTGATGAAGACGAACAAATATTGTGTGAGGAGGTACCCTACGTCCTGGATACAACTCAGCATACAATCGTCGAGCTTGCCGACCATTTCCATTACTTCGACCATAGACAAAATACGTATCTGACAATTCCGCATTTGTAAAATTTTCCATTCTTTTCGATAAAAGAAAAATTAATTACTTATTAACACTAATGTTATAGCAAACTAAAAGCTTAATAAATTAATAATGATGAAACGCTAATTTGACATTTCTTAAAAATATTCGTATTTAACAGACAAATGTTGACAGTAGCCTAATAGGTAATGTATTAAAGAAATAAAAAATACGCGTTAAGATGTTTTATTTTTTTTGCATCAAAACGGCGCCCCATACGAAGAAAAGACAAGAGAGATTTTTTGTCACAAATTGAACGAGGAATTCAAAAATTATTTTTAATTTGTAATATCTCAGTGGCGTACCATTTTTTCCTTTAAAAAAATTGAGATTATTATCCGTACGAGCGCCAATGATGAACATAGAATTCTTAATTGCTTGTCAAAAAATGCGCAATAACTACCTCTTAAAACCCACCAAATTTCATTTGCACATCTCGACCGGTTTCAGAGCAATAAATTAAATCGTTAGCTTTTAAGAAAAACTTTGACACCCCGTTTCCCGGAAAACTAATGATTTGCAGACATACGTTTATAAGCAAACTGCCATTATTTTCTCATGTAGAATCACCCCCTGAATTTTGTCGCACTTATTTACTAACACCCTGTGTAGGAAAAATATTTAAAATTAAGGGATCTTTATCCTGACGTATTAAAAAATGTATGTTGCTGGAAAAAAATTGTTTGAAACGCCGCGACGCCTAGCGCCGTAAAGATAATTTCTGTATCCCTACCTTTAAGTAAAGTAATCAGAAATGTAATAGTTTTTAAAATAATTTATTTTTCTCAGCCGTTTCCCAGAAAAACTCATTTCTCCAGTTAAATCGATCACCCTGTACGCACAGTCTTTTAAGATAAAACTTGGATTACCATCTACATCCATTGTGAAGGAGTTTTAGATCTTCTCAGACCTCGTAACACATCTTCCTCCTTGATAGACGAAATGACAATAGATACTGAAAGTTTACCATTTGAAAGAAATTTAGATGAGTCTATTGGATGAGATTGAATAAAGACACTGTTGAAATAATCAGCAAAGACATTTACAGTATCAGTAGGGTTAGAGAGCTCAATATTATTGTGAACCATAATATCTGGTATTATCTAGTAATAATAATAACCTGCACCTGATAATCTCTACATTAATGAAGAAAATAATCGTTCATGAGAAAAAAAACATAACCAATTCGGGAAGTGATTTCTGTTTTGCAATATTTTTCAAATCAAATACAAAATATTCTGTTAATATTAACCTTTAATAGAAAAGTGGATTGTTTGGGATACTGTCACTTGTTTATAATAATCCAGTGTTAATTTTCAAACTGGTTTATTAGTTTTAGTGTTGGCATTAGTTAAGAAATTATTATTATAATTAAAACGTTGATTTATACCACTCTGTAACTAAAAAATAACTAATTCAATTTCAAAATATACATACTGTATATCCACGTTCGATAAAATAATAGATTTTTGATATTAAATCCTTTTATCTATACGAATATTTCAATGCATTTCTGTAGCCAGTATCAGTTGAAATGAAGTGCTTCATCTTTTATCATTCTACATAAATTGTCGCAAAAGTAAATGTGAAGATTTATTTAGTAAAAGTACTTTGATATAGGTACACTCACCCCGAACAACGCTAGCCAGTATCGCAACCAGTACGATGGGTTTCAGCATGTTGGCACAATTTGGTAAATCAGCATCAATTATGTTACTTATATACCTTTCCTGAATCTCACATACCGAAATTATTTAAAGTTCAATGCTATCTAATCATCCACTGCCACTTTTATTGTTCTTTCTCTGGAGAGAGACAGATATAACTGATTTTGAGCACATACGACGTAAGTTCTTGAAGGAATTTCATTTCAACGAAGGGTTAAATGTTGAATAGTATCTGCAGGCTATTGTATTGACTATGTGGATAATTTGGAGCCATATATTTAAAACAGAAAAGTTTTAGTGCGTCTTTTTTAACTTTTGATATCGCTGATTGAATAAATTGGTACTCTGGTACAACCTAAAATGAATACAGTGATTGGTAGTGTTTTGGATAGGTCCAAATCCAGTATAAAAAAGTGTTTTTTCTTTGTATAAAGAAAGAGAATGGTAAGTGACAATGTAAATGAAGAAAACGAAACGAGTTATGTAAAAATTGATGATGGAATGTATGTTCAATCTGTAAGAAATAAGAATAATTTAGACAAAAATAATAGTGACATTCTAGAATTACCGATTTCGCTATGTTTTTAGTTGCCACAATTTAACAATTTTTCTACCGGTTTGAAAAAGAAGCGAAAAATACATTTATGTAAAGATCGACAAGTACCTACAATTCCGTTTATTTGAGAAATTGACTGCAATATAATATGTCAGTTGATTTGAATGATTTATGGAAACTATTTTAAGATTTAACTAATTTTTATGAAAAAAATTCAAAAGGAGAAATCAGTAGATTTTTTAAAATCAACAGTTCATTCATTTTTTCAGTTTTTATCCTAAACATTTATCTAAGGAATTTGCTTTGATTGTAAATATAAGATTAAAATTTAATTATCTTAAGATTCTTTTCTTAAAGGATTTTAATATGAATAGCATTTCAATTACGGCACCAAATTACTAGATAAAAAATAATTATAGATTTAAATTACAACGTAATTAGATTGAAAAATTTATTATACACTCGTGGTATTGTTTACATTCCTTCAGGTATTATTAAACAAATGTAAAATTTATCTTTATATAAAATCTATGTTTTCATCTCATACTCAACTGACTGACATATTTTAGAAATTGTGTACCTACCTATAATTATAAATATTCTTTCATCATCTTCGCCAAATTACGCAGAGGTTTCTCGTGAAAAAGGTAAAAGATTCAATGGCTTATTGTTAAATTAAAACAAAATTGTTTATGATAATTGTAATTTTGAAAACGTTATTCTTTTTCTTCTTCGTCTTTGACCTTCCATTTTTGTTAGTCATTTATTAATACCTTAAACTGCATTTAGATTATTTTTGTTATACAGGGTGATTCAGTCATAATGTCATTAATTTTAATAGCAGATAGAGAAAAATGAGTATAATACGAAGGCGTGATCAAAAAAAATTTAAATGCATATTTAAGTTGACCGGCTGACGTCAGCCGGCTACGATATGAACACACATAGGCAACTTTACTGGTAAGAGATTGAAAATTACCCCCACTACTTGACTCCAGAGCCCGAGAGGACAGCGATATGTGTCTGTCATTTTTTAGACAGAGACAAAATAAATTTCTGTTGTCTCTGTTAGCATTCATTTTGAAATTTAACAGCTGACGCCGGAACTTCATCATGATTCATACGTTACAACATAATTTTAGAATTTTCAAAAAATGTAATAATGTGAATGAAGAAATTATACGTGAAACATTGCCAATGACATCAATTTACAAATGAATTACATGGTGATTTACAAACAGTGACAAAAAATGAAACCTCGAATTCTTTAGTGAATTTTAAGGTAGGTCTTTCATATAAAGTTTTTGTCTAGGACGGTTCACTAAAACAATCCAGTGTTAAATTAATATTTTAAATTTTTTATAACATTTTAACTAGTGAGTGAAATAATTTGAAATTAATCACATGAATGTATGTAAATATTGTACAAAATCGGAAGCATTTTCTTAAATAACAATGTTCCAGTGGCTGAGATACAGGGCTTTATTATGATATTTTCGGATTCTTCTTACAATTTTCTACAAATCACCACCGTTTATGTTTTTCGAAAAAAAAAAAAAACAATTTCCGTTCAACTGAAAACATTGTTTAAATTACAATAGAAACACTTTTTTTTTAATATATTATTTAATCGAATAAAGAACATCTCATAGATAATTTTATTTGAGTAAATGCTCAAAAATACCTCAATTTGCGCAAACACAGCCTACTAATGTAACGATTAAACAGCATTGTATTCAAATATCGAAGTGTGTCTTCAGTTCATTTTTTAAGTTTTACTAAGGAAAAAAGGCTTTTTTGGAAAAATATAAAAGAATAGTAATTTGTAGAAAATTGGAAGAGGAATGCGAAAATATCATGATTGTTACAATAAAGCAGCGGCATACTTTTTTATTTAGACAAATATTCCAGCAATACCCTGCAGCATTTATTTTTTAATTTTTATTATTTGTAAAAAATTTAAATATTTTTTAAATTTTAACACCCTGTATTTTTTAACGAAACTTCCTAGATAAAAGCTTTATACGAAAGAGCCCTCTTAAAATTCACTAAAGAATACGAGGTTTCATTTTTGGTCAGTGTTTGTGAATCACCTTACGAATATAATGAGAAGTTATCGTATGCCCCTTTACACCCAATGAACTTATCTTATACCCCTCGTATGTGCAATAATTGTCCTTGAAAGTGTTTCTTACTCCAAACACCGATGGCGTATTTAATGCATTTTTTCATTGAGTTTCCTATCTATTTCTTACATAGTTTATCTTATCTATTGATATGAACAAAGCGCCCTAGATGCAATGTTGCCATATTTATATATTTTCGCTCATATAAAGACAATAAATAAACGGTTTGCTCACGTCAGCCAATAATAATTTAAAATGCTATAAATTATTTTTTATAATTGTGCAATCAACAAATTAAATTGTTATTGTTGCCCAGCAAGAACCTCGACGAGGTCTGAGCATGACTTGCCAAAAATCATGTTTTATTAACATCATAGTGATAATTTTTTAATTTACTTTAAGCAGTCTACTAAAAATTTAAAGTAACGCGGCCCATTCAGATGTTCAGGTAGAAAATGCGGCCCAATTAAACGATCGCCATATACTCCTGCCCATACATTGACACATAACCTCCTCTGAAAGCTAAACTGACGAGTAGTGTGCGGGTTTTCATCTGACCAAATGTGACTATTATGGCTGCAAAGAAATTAGCTCTGTTTCAATTTAAATAAATTTTAATATTGAAGTTACAAAACCCCACGAGTTAAAATAATTTAAATTTCATTTCATAACAATTTCAATTTCATTACAGAAATAATGACATAAAAAAACAACACTCACTAGATAAATTATAAAGAGAGGGTGAGATGTATGTAGTATTTTAATATTGACTGTAAGTAATAGAAGAGAAAAATACAATCGGACGGAGACAAATAAACAACTCGGTACGTGTTTCCGATCTAGGCTAACCTGTGTCGAGGTCAATAACCTTCTAATTTGCACGTATACTTTAATCTAGGAGCCAGACAGGGTTCTGTTGACAACCAGAGTGTCACGGCTGCAAACAACTTATTCGAAAGTATTTTGACCTCCTGAATCCAAAAAACTTGGTCACTAAGTCTGAAAGTGGTCAGCTTAATTGTTACCAACAAATTAAATGTTTAAATGGCTGTAAAAACTTTATTTTTATAGCTATATACGGAACCTGATCTGGCTCCTAGAGTTATACGAACTGTAGTAGGATCGTATTCCATGCAAAGTAGAGCAAAAAGCTGTCGGTATTTTGTCACAGGAAAATCGTGTCATCAAATTTAATATAATGAATAGGGATGATTGTTTTCGAATGTACGCTTATTACAATTGATCATTTTTAGTATTATTAACGTTTTCACGTTTTATAATTCATTATGTTAAATAATACACAGTTTTAGTATTTCAATTTATTATTCAATATGCAGTTGCGTATAACCAAAGTTTACATATTGTAAACTTTAGTGTAAATCAAAACTTTGGTGTAACCTAAGTAGGCACTTATTGTTTTTGAGAAAGCAATACTTATGTTTTTTTACCTGTTTAAAATGAGTAATACAGTATTCATCCTTCCAGAGCACTTTGTTTATAAAGTTCTGCTGCACTTAGGAACGAATTGCAAAATTCAAGACAGTTGAGGAAATCAGCTGCTTCTAAAGCTTGAACTTTTTGAAAATGTATTATGTTAACTCCTTTGCGGGAAAAATGCGGGAGATATGGATGGTGGTAGATTTGAATAAACGCTTTAAATTGTTAGGTAATGGTTTTGTAACCGTGTGTTGTGTATTTCGTATATTCGGGTATTTAGTGTGCCGACTTTTTTTATTTAATAAAATACAGTGTACCTACAAACCTCTGCTTTATATATTTTCTTTTAACGAAAGTTGACTTCGAGAGATCATATTCAGAGGCTGAAAAATTCAGAATCCATATTAGCCATTTTTTTAGAAAAAATCTGCGTACGCCAGTGGATTCGGCGTCCCCTGAAATGGATCTATACCAAATTTTATGAAAAAATATTCAAGAATAACGATTCTATGGCTAAATTACTGTCAAGTTGTTTATTATGCATTAAGAAGCGTTTTATCTAGTAACCCACGCGATAACAAATCAATCACAACAAATATTTAATAACACATTTAATAGACATCCTTATATCAAAATACAATGAAACAAACAGAAAAATAAATGAGACATTAACATAAAATTTACAAAAAACGCAGTAAAATAAAATAAAATTAACACACATGAATTAACTTTAAATTCTAGATTTTTCAACTAAATCTCCATTTAATTGAATGCATTTATTGTATCGTCTTTGAATGTGTGCTATAACATTAGACAACTGGCGTTGTAATTCGTTGGACGAGTGTAGTAAACTTTTTCTTTAATGAACTCCCAAAGAAAAAAATCTAGGGGAGTTAAGTCGGGAGCCCTGGGAGGAAACTGGTGTTGT